ACAGCAATAACTTTTTAAAAAATGATTTTCAGCACAGCTCTAGCTTCAATATAACAAAAGTGATGACTTCAACTGCTCAAGTTTAACATAAAATTTCAAACTTAACCGCCAGGCCTGATTTATTTTTTTTGTGAGCAGCTCAACCCAAATGTGCGCAACCTTATGCATCATTAAAAAACTATCAATCTACAGGGGCTGACGAGTGTTGCAGTTACTGTAAAAAAAAACTATCGAACATGAAGACAAAAATGCAGTTGCTTGGCTGCCAGAAATTGTTGTTAGATTTCCATCTCAAACAGATCTATGATTATTTAAGATCCAGAATTTACATAAAGGACATTATTTCTGGAACTTTTACACATGATTTTATAATACTACCTCTGTTTTATTTGATCTGCTCACTTTTCATTGATGGATTTTTTTGTTTAACATGCTTAATTTTATTCCATTTTAGGCATACTATATATATCATCATACCCCTTCCAGATTTACGCCTTTCTGTATTCTCTCTTACTTTATAGTACACCTACCCACCTTTTTACGCTCTTTCTCTTAATTCATCTTACACCCACCATCTTTTTACACTTTTATTACACCCACTCATCTATTCAAAGTTTTCTTATATTATGTATCTACATCAAGTGAGTCGAACAAAGTTAGCGATACATTTGAATGATCACGGTTCCATAAAGAAAATCAAGGGACCAGATTTCTTATCAGTGATTATTACCAAGTCCCAGTAGAGTTTCTTTTCAGGAAAATATGGATCTAACAATATGAAACACACTGCATCACCTTCCTCCCTCACCCAACACCAAATTATGCTGCTCTATACGTGTGGGCCTAAAGCAATTTACCAGGACAGAAAATATTGGCATCTTTGTCTGATTTTTAGCTATATTGAACAAGCAACCATGAGGACAACAGCAATTGCTAAATGGAGACAACACCATAGATAGTAGAACATCTAGATCCACGGAAGTGTCTTCCAACAAACCAAGCCAGGAATAAGAATCCGCAACAAGACATATATTCAAAAACTGGGGAAGTTAAAGACTGATACAAAGGATTAAAATCCTAACTACGACCCAACCAAGAGGATAAATTCAGGTATAATCTTATTTTCAACTAATGCATACTAGTAACATGGAATATGCAAAGTGGTCATAGAACAGACAAATAAATCACAGGCACAAAATACATCATACTACTGACCTCAGCAGCACTAATCTTGTCTGGGCGTGAGACGTAATCCTCCAAGTCAACTTCATCACTCAAGTTCATCTTGGCAGTACAAACCTGGAAGAAAATGTGGGCAGATGATAAATTTATTCATAAAGAGTTATAGACCACTGGAAAATGAAAGAAGCAGAGGGAATAAAGGAACTGGCAACTGAAAATAGGATCATAGTGCACCTGAAAAACAAGCCTCTTTTGTCGTCTATCAGGCAAAGGAAACTCAATTTTCCTGTCCAGTCTTCCAGGACGTAGCAGTGCAGGGTCAAGAGTGTCAGCTCGATTAGTTGCCATGATAACCTTAACGTTCACAGTTTGGTCAAACCCATCCATCTACAGGAGCAACAATAACTTAACATAAATACAATACAGGGGATGTCAACATAGAAATATACATTTCATTTTTGTAGGAGCAGACACATCTGCATAGCTTATATGCCCTTTGAATAATACCTGATTCAGAAGTTCCATAAGGATACGCTGAACCTCCCTATCAGCACCAGTCTGAGCATCAAACCTAGCAGTAGCAATAGCATCTACCTCATCAATGAAAATAATTGCAGGTGCGTTCTCTTTAGCAAGGCGAAATACATCACGGACCATTCTCGGACCCTGCATTAAACAAAACAGAACAATTCAGTAAAATTTCAACATAATCCAATTAAAAAAATAAAAATTAATTAAAACAATCTGCTTAAATATTAGATTTTGAGATGCTCAAACTCTTATCAAAAAAAAAAAAAAAAAAAAAACTAAGGAAATAGATATAGGTCCCAAAGGTCCAATATGAAGAAAAATACAAAGTTGAATGTGAGTGTCCAAAGATATGACTGGATAGGTGATACAAGGATACTTTCATATGTGTTATACATGTATCAATATATGTATAGGTGAAAAGCATTAATTTTCTTCTCTTAGCCAATAGTGAAGTGTCCAAACCCATGCGCATGGCAAGCATCTAACATGGATCATTGACCGGAAATGAAAAGCCTAAGCATTGTAGTTTATGTTAATAGTAATTTATCTTATTCACATAGTCAGTATCTCTAAAGGAAAGGCTGCATATACTATGTCTCTTACCCAGTGTAATTAACAGCCTCTTTAGAGACTTTGGGAAAAGGCTAAGTTCAGTATAGAGTAGAAGATGCTAATTACAACACATGAAAGATAAAATATGATATATGTAAAAAAAAAAAAAAAATTATGGAGTACATACATAAATACACACCTTCCAAATTTTAAAGAGAGAGGTAATAAAAGTTGAGAAAGACCCACCTCACCCAAATACTTCTGAACAAACTCAGAACCAACAACTCTAATGAAGGCAGCAGTAGTATGATTGGCAACAGCCTTTGCAAGCATTGTCTTTCCAGTACCAGGAGGGCCATAAAGCAAAACACCCCTGGGAGGATCAATACCAATTTGCTTGTACAAATCATGATGAGTCAAAGGCAGCTCAACTGCTTCACGAATTTCCTGCTTTTGAATGTCACATCCTCCAATGTCCTGACAAAGTTATTGCCAGAAGAGCATTAAGAAACATAGGTTCACAAGAGACTCAAAGATCGATGAACATTTTCATGTTACAACAATCTGATATAGAAGTAAGCTTTGAACAATGATGAACAAATGATGCACTGCAGCAATACTGTTTCAATACCCTTAAAACCAAATAACCCCCAAAAACATAATAGGAAAGAAAGATAAATCAGCAACGAACTATCTAACGAACACCAGGAAAAGTAAATCCACAGAACACAAGCAAAAATTGATGCACACTGTAATAAACACAATGCAGCTTCAACATTATAATTGTCCTTGCTACCAAGATAGAAAGAAATGCAGGCAATCCAATGAGAAAGCTTAAATAAACACTTTTGAGTTTCCAAACAAGCTGAATATCAAAATAGTTTACGCATTCTTTAATTTAGTTTTCAGTTGATTACACAACTAATATCATACAATTAGTGAAATCTCAAAACCAAAACAAAATGCTACATGCCCTAAATTTCTAACTCAAGAGTATGGGATTGAGAAATTCACATCTATACAACACTTCTGAGATGAACTACATAATAAATAGAAGTAAAAAGTTGCCAACATGGAATGAAACATAACAACATACATTGTAACACACTAATGCACCCTAGCAAAGGTTAAAATGCCACAGATGTACCTTTCTAGGTATTTGTTAAGGCACTAACTATCAAATTATAATGCATACAAGGAAAAGTAGATAGTAATAGGATAGAGCATTGCTAAACAATTGTATGATGCTTTCAGGTACTAATCTACCATGTATGCAAAACAAATCTACCAATATAACAAATTCGTAGTCATGTCCTCATGGCAGATCAATTGATACAGGTTTAACCAGCATTATTCCCTAAAGATAGTACTTTTCAAGATACCGGAAATGCACAACACACTAAAAAGTATGGGAATACTGTCAGGTAATACAACACAGTAGATGAATCTTTATTGCTTCAGGTAATCATTTTATCACCTAGTACTAATCCTTCATCAACCTTAAAATTTACAAATATGCAGCTATGCTCCCAAAAGTTCACCTTTCTCACATTTAACTATTAAAACTAACAACCAATTTCAGTTCTCATACATAATACCATCAAAATACAGAAAAACAAAACCCTTAATTTTAAAGACTCGTTTTCTTTACTAAAATTCACACTTCATCACCAAAAAAAAAGTCTCCTTCATACATGCATCAAGAAGCACAAAATCAAACTCCAATTACAGTATGAAATTCTTCCAAATTAAAAGGAAAAAATAAATAATTCAAAATCAACCATTACCAGTTTACCACACCCCTAATTTAAATTACCAAATTCAAAATTTTACTCCAACAGCACAATTCAAGCAAAAAAAATCATCAAATCAATAAACCACAATTCCAAATCTTGAACAAAACACATCAAATTCAAAAAAAAAAAAAAACCCTAAAATTCAATAACCCAAACCTAGAATCAAAACCCTAAGAGAGAGAAAACTCACATTATAGCTAACATCAGGCTTCTCAGATTGACTCAAAAGCGAGATACTCGAATCGGCTTCGGGAGGAAGAACATCAACAAGTGCATTCGAATGTCGGTGAAGCGCAACCGAAGCCGAAGGCTTAAGCAATTCACGATTAATCGTACTAAGAATCCGAACATAGTAATTACTCCCAGTAGTAGACCCAACAATCCCATTATTCTGATCAACCATCTCCATAAACTGCCCAATAACAAGAGGCACAGATTGAATCCTTTTGACCTCTTCTTGAGCTCTAAGATGCTCTCTTTTGAGGTTTTTGAGTTCGTCTTTGACGTATTCTTCTTGGATTTCCATGAATTCGATTTGGCGTGCTAGGGATTTCAATCGGCCGTAAAGATCTTCTTCTTCTGGGGCGGAAGAATCTTCGGATGATGTCCATGAGATTGTTGCTGGTGGTTCAGATGGTGGTGGTTTGGGGTCGAGCACCATGGCTGATGCCGCCATTGTTGAGTTCTTTGAAGGATTTGGAGGAGAGAGAAAATGAAGTGAGGGTTTGGAGTATTGCCGAAGAAATTGTTTTTGTTAAGAGGAGAGACCGAGAGAGATGTAGAGTTTATATACTCTGTATCAATGTATCGTATCATAAGACGATAAACAAGGAATACTTAGCAAGGGGTATAATCGTCAATATATATACTATTAAGGTATGGGTAATTTTGTAATTTATGGAAAAAAAATAATTATTCTAGATAGCTGTATGAAATCATGACGCTAATGAAAGATTCGAATAGCTTTACAGGAATTTTTCTACAACTTTTTCACCATATACCCTTGAGTAATTTTTTTATTCACCATATATCCACAAAATTAATCAAATTCACTAAATACCCACCAGTTACTGTACATTAACATTAAATACCCTTTTACCTAACTGACGTTAAGTCCTCGTTAGTATGACTTGACCATAATGCCCTTAGTAGTGTATTGTGGCATTTTCTGTCATTGCCCAAAGAAGATAAAAAAAAGTCTTCTAAGTATTGACCCCCCCTCCTTCGCATTCATCTTCTTCTCCCCTGTTCTTCTTGCTCTCACGCACCATTGATAGTGTGCCCTAAAAAACTTGGTGACACCCCTCTAAAGTCATCTGGTTTGAAGTAAGGAAGATCCGAAGAGTGAACTGTTTGCAGAATCGGGCGAAAAGGGAGGGTATTGAAGATCGGCGGAAGTTGTTGGGGTAGAACAAGGGTATTTCATCAAAATAGAAGCCTAGGTATTCAAACATCAACGAAGGTAATTTCTTGACTTTCGATTTTGATTTCGAAGTTGAAAGATGAAGTCTTTTGTCAAAATTGTTGATGCATTCTAGGGTTATGTGAAAATTACGATTGAAATGTCAGTAATTAGGAAGTGTTGCTTCATTTATTGTTATGTATCTCTGGTGAATTGTGGTGTGAGTATGTGAATAGATTTTGGTTGTGTGATTTGAATTTTACAATTTAGGGTTAGGTTATTTTAACTGATATGTTGCATGTTTCGTTTTAATGTGTTAAATTGTATACATTGTATGAAGTTTGAATGTGATTATGTTGTTGGTTGTATATAGGATGAGTAGTGTGTGGTTGCTTGTCCATGGTAAGAAGGATGATAAGACGTAAGCTTTTGATATTATGATTGAGGATACAGACTTGTGTAGTCTAATAGGGTTGTATGAAGATATGTTTGTATACTCTGTGAAACAAAATGTGTTTCTCCCAAAGTTTTTCACTTTATTAGTGCATAAGCCAAGGACTAATCGAAAATTGGAGCTTAAAGATGATGGGGATATGTTAAAAATGTGGGAATGGAACAAGGGTAAGGATACTATAGAGATTTGGGTTGAGGAAACAAATGTTCATGGTATTGTTTTTCAGGATGCTGAACAAAGCTGGCAAAGAAAAATTAAGGAGGATGCTGAGAAGGCTAAGGCAAACATAGAAAAGAATAAGATGGAGGCTGAGAGGGAGCAAGCTGAGAAGGAGTTGTGGGAACAGCAACAATACACTGTTGCAGTTGAGGTGCCTGTTGTTAGTGCAGAAAATTCTAAGGTTGAATATATGAGGGTGTTTGAAACTCCAGTTGCTGATGAGTGTTTCCCAGGAGAGTCTCAACCTGAACCCTCATAGTCCTATACCCAAACCTCACCTTCTCCTAAGCAACAAACAGATCTCAAACCTCACCTACTCCTAAGGAACAGCCAACTAGGAGAAAGAAAATGACACCCAAAAGGAAAAAAACAACACCAAAGAAAAAGAATCATGTCAAGCAACCAATTCAGCAAGAGATGCCTGAACCAAATGAACCTTCATCACCACAGCAACCTATAACACCACCTCATACACCACCATCTAGACAGCCAACTCCACCACTACCTAGACAATCAACTTCACCACCACCATAAAAGGGTGGGTATGGATTAAGAAAGGAGTGATAGAGAGAAGTCAGGGAGGTCAAAGGGTGAGAAGGGAGACAGTGATAAGGGAAGCAGAAAGTGATGTTTTAGAAGATGATGACAGTGAAGATGATGATTATGAAATGTCTGATGCTGAGGATGAGGAGGAGACTGTGAGTGATCTGGAATTCATTGTAGATGAAGATGATAATGTGCTTGTTGACTTTGATGAGTTGAAAGAGAAAATTTTTGAAGACTACTAGGATGGGAGTCATAAGTTGGACAAATTGTACAATAATGGGAAGATTTGGAACAATTTACCTTTTGGCTCTATTGTCTTGGAAAATTGGTTGATTTTTGAGAATAAGACTTAGTTTTAAGAGGTTTTCAGAGATTATTGCATACAAGAGGGCTTTGTAGTCACCATTAAGAGGGCTGACAACTGCAGATATACAACAAGTTGTGTTGTTGAAGCTTGTAATTGGAGAATACATGCTGCAATGTTAACTAATAATGTCAGTTGGGCTATCAAAACACTGACCTGGTTATGCAGACATCTGCTGCAAGATCTAGAAGAAAATCTAGAGATACCAGTTGAATCACTTCAGAGGCTATGCATGGAAAGATATAGGCTCAATGTAAAGCAGAGACTATTTATAAGGTTAAAGTTATAGCAAAAGAACAAATTCATGGTGGATTTGCTGAGTCTTATGCATTGCTGCCAAGATATGTTGAGATGATTAAGTCTACTAATCCAGGGTCTTATGCACTAGTTACATGGTCCGGAGATAGTGCAACCCAAGGGCAAAAATTCAAAGCCTGCTTTTTCACTTTTGCTGCTTCTGTTAAGGTGTTTTTAGGTGGCTGTAGGCCAATAATTGGGATAGATGGTGCACACTTGAGTGGCTACTACAAAGGGGTCATGTTGACTGCTTTTGGTATTGATGGAAATAATGAAATTTTTGTCATAGCTTATTCAATATTAGACACAAAGAGTATAGAGAGCTGAACCTATTTTTTCAGAAATCTAAGGTGTTTGTTTGCCAGTGAAGGATGCCATAAAGATGATTGGACCTTCGTTTCTGACAGAATGAGGGTAAGCCATTTATTTTCAATTTGTTTGTGGTGTAACTCTTACTTATTTTGCCACTGAACTCTGATTTTTGTTAATTTTTTGCTGGTTAAGGGTGTCGAATCTGCATTGTTTGAAGTTTTCCCAAAAGTTACCAGGAGGGTTTGCTGCCAGCATCTCTATTCTAATTGCAAGAATACTAGGTGGAGTGGGTCAATGTTCCACAAGCTCTTTTGGATTGCTGCAAATGCATACAATGAGTATGTCTTTGAGAAAGCAATGTCCAAAATCAAGGAGCATGATGTAGCTGCTGAGCAATATCTAAGGAATGTGGAGGAGTAGTGGTCAAGGAAGAGCTTTGAAACCAATGTTTGTTGTGATCACAACACAACAAACTTTGTTAAGTAATTTAACTCATGCACGAAACCACACAGAGATATGCCTGTCCTAACTTTATTAGAAGGTACAGTCACTTATCCATGCCCATTTTCATTTTCTTTATGCATGCTTACTAATTACATCACTAATCTTGTTGGTGTAACTAAATAGCTGTCAGAAATTGGATCATGAAAAGGGTGGGAGAAAGATTTGACAAGGCCATTGACATGGATCCAAATGCATTAACCGACCATGCACATCAGATTTTGCAGAGTAGGAGTGATGACTCCAGATTCTACCATGTCACTTCTTGTGGGGGTGGTGAATTTGAGGTTAGGGATGGACTTTTCAAATTTCTTGTCAGGCGACAAACATGACTTGTGGTTGTGGCAAATGGCAGGGTCTGGTATTCCCTGCAAGCATGGGCTTAGGGTCACTTACCACTAGAGAATGGAACCTATCAACTTTGTTTCAGCTTTCTTCAAGGGGGCTGCTTATAAAGCCACTTATGCCAATCATGTCCACCCTATGGCTAACCCTACACACTGGTCAGAGTTCAATGTTCCTCAAATAAACCCACCAACAATGAAGAGAAGTGCAGGCAGACCTGCAAAGCAGAGATGGAGCAAATGAAGCAAGAAAAGGTAAAACGCATAAACAAGCACTACTACATTTTTGATCTAATGCAACGGCGAAGATAGGGCTAATACAACGGCTCTACTATTACCGTTGTATTAGACAAGGCTAATACAACGGCATCATGTTAATTATATCAAACACTAAAAAACCGTTGCATTAGGCCCGCTAATCCAACGGCTCATGTTGGCTAATCCAATGGCAATATTGCCTAATCCAACGGCATATTCTAATCCAACGGCAAAATATCTAATACAACGGCACTGTTTTTATATAGGCGCCAAAACGAAATTTCCATTTACTAACTTCCCTCCTCATTTTTCCCCAAATTCATCTCACTACGCTCGCAATTACCCAGAAGATAACTCATTTTCCCCTAATTTTCATTTTTAGCTAGCTCTGTCTTCATTCCCACGCCCTTCAGTTCCTCATTTTTCCCAATTCAGTGCCCAGCTTTGTTCACAAATTCACATTTTTTTTTCCCAATTCTCTCTCTTCTTCCTCTTCAAATGGTAGATTAGGCGAATTGAAGGAAGGCGCTGGCGGTAGCGGTGGTGGTGGCTGATTGTTCGACTCTTGCATGTGACAAATTTCCTCGGATCTTTAAGGTATACCTCAATTTGCTCAAATCTCTGGTGTCTTTGTGATTAGGGTTTGTGTTAATTGAATTTTTTCTTTGTGTTTATGCTGGTGAATGGTTTGGTTTTACTTTTTTTCGGGTTCATGTCAAATAATAGACAAAGGCGTATATGATGTGGGTTTGAAATTTTCTGGGTTTGAATTTTTGTACAGTATAATTGTGTCATTATTTATGCACCACTCTAATCTCCCTATTTTACTAATGAACCCTCCTCCTTGCCTTTCTTTACATAACATATAATTTATAGTTTTTCAATTGATAACAATTGAATACTATTAACCTATGTAGAGAGGGTCCTGAAATATATACTTGCCCTTTATGGAATTGTCAGGAATATAAAGCTTTGTTTTAAGCTTACACATGTTTGCCCTCTCATCTTCAAGTCTTTAACTTTAGCACGACTTGAATCTATCTTCTCTAATTTTCATATTATTAATTTGAATCAAGGTCTTATGAATTTGCAGCGCTCAAATTAGGATGGACTGAATTGAACAACAGAAAAGGGATAGATTTTTTACTTTTCAAAATACCGAAGTCTGGAACACTCTATCTGTTATCTAGTGTACAACTTACTACTAATTAAAACTTGAGCTTCAATGCTAGCGCAAATACACTCTTGCTTGCATCTTCTGTTTTGGTTCAATTGATCATTTGCAGGGTTATGTTACACCGATTAGCTTTTACCTCACACTTAGGCCAAAACAGTTAGGATATGCCAGCCCTGTTTCTAAACCTCAAGAGTGTATTATCAATCAGACGCTTATGCACAAGCAAAAAGGATCAGAAACTGTGTTACTTTTACGGCCAATGATTAGCTTAACCAAAATTGATCACAAAACAATTTCAACCACACTAAATAGGTTCAATAGGATAATAATTCTATCAATGTGTTTATTGAGGGGTTCTTTCTCAAAAACTATTCCTCATCCTACTATAAATGTAACATTTTCAAAAACAGTAATAATAGTCCCTACACAAAGTTGATGACCCATTGATTTACTTTGATTTTATATAGATTTCTGGTTATAAATTTACTCAATTGAAATATGGGTTTGAATTTTTGTAGGTGAAGATAAAAAAGGACTTACTCAAGATAAATAGAATAAGGTGTTGAACAATTGCCGGCAGCACAAAGGGGTTTTCATCTTTAAGTTGCCTTGGTATGCCTTTTTGAAATTTAATTATGTTTAAAATTTTCTTAATGTGAATTGGATATGATTTTCACAACCAAATTTTAGAAATTCTTCTCCCAATTTCTGCCAGAAATTAGTTAGGCTCTTATAATTAGTTTTCATTTTGGAAATTAATTTCGTTTTGATTGAAGGGTAGGGTAATAGGGGTAATTTGTTTGTGTTTTGGATCGATTATGTCTATGATCTCGTGTTCTTGTTAAGCCTTACAAGGAGAAGAGCAAAGGATAGTATTGCAATTCATTCACCTCCATCTTCTTAGCTTCCTACACAAAATAATATTCAAATGTGACTACTAGACAACATAAATCTTTCTGACATATTAAAAGAGTCAAACCATCTTGAGAGGCAAGAGGTTTAGTACATGTTGATATTAAGAGCGAAAAATGACTTTAGAATGGTCTACTATTGTTAGGTTCTAACTCGGTTGCATAAAAAGAGAGAAATAAAAAGAGAGAAATAAAGCTGTTCTTAGGCTGAATTGAAAATACAAAATCATGTCAACAGAGTTCAGCAACTCATCAATTGTAAATGGAGGAAGTTTCATTGTAAATGGTTGTATAGCCTTAGATCTAGTTTGCCTAGCTGTGTTGGGTATTGAGTGCTGGTTCTGTGTGCTGTTTCTGTTCTTTGCTGTGGGCCTGCCCTGCTCTGGTGTTGCTTGTCCTGCTGTTTTGGCGATCTGTTTCTCTGGTGCTGTTTCAGTGATGTGTGCTACTGTGCTGTGGTTCTGTGTGTGGCTGTGTGGTGTTGTAGCTGGTTTGCTGAGGTGCTGGGTTGTGGAGGCCTACCTGCAGGTTGTTTTTTGTGCTGCAGATGGTTTCTGTGTTCTGTTCAGGCAGGTTCTGTGTGTGGCTGTGTGGTGTTGTAGCTGGCTTGCTGAGGTACTAGGTTGTGGAGGTCTGTCTGCAGGGTGTTTTTTGTGCTGTAGTTGGTTTCTGAGTTCTGTTCAGGCTGGTTCTGTTTGTGTTTTGCCTCCTTGTTTTGCTGGTGTTGCTGTTTCTGTCAGAGCTTGCTAGGTGTTGTTGTTCTGTCAGGGCTTGCTGGGAACTGCTGTGTCTCGCTGCTGTGTTTGTCGTTTTTGTGCTGAATTGTAGGTGTTTTTGTTAGGAGGCTTGTTTTTAGTCTTTGGTGTATGTCTCACTATAAATGGTTTTATTCTTTTAAGTTGTATTATGCTTAGTTTGGTGTAGGCTAGGGTGTTAGTCTCTTTTTTTTTGGTGGTTTTGTTTTTGGCCGTTCACATTTGCATTGATACGTCAGTAGCGAAGGTTACTTGATGTGTTTGTCTGAAATACGAACTGAAATAGAGTGATATGTTTGTCATTCTTTTAATTTAACTTTTATTTTTCATTTTAGTTTTTGTGACTTAGATAAAATAACTCTCTAAATTCGAACCCGAAAGAATGGATGGTGGAACTAAGAATTGGTGGATGTTTGCCAAATGGAGAGATGAATATGAACGGGGAGTAGACGAATATGTCAAAAAGGCTTTTGCTATTAAGTCTCAAGGAAATCAAATTTGTTGTCCATGTCAAATTTGTCATTATCGTTTTTGGCGGTGTGAAGGTGTGGTGAGAGACCATTTAATTTGTAATGGTTTTGTTCCAAGATCGGATAAGTTATCAGATTTAGGGTTCAATATCCAAAGAGAAGAAAATATTTTGGATAATGATGAAGGGTCCATCCCAAATGAATCTAGCGATGACGTAGTGAGGTTGTTGCATGATGCACGTGATGCTTTTAGAGAGGGGCCAAATGATGAGGCAAAAAAGTTTTTGAGGTTAGTTGAAGAAGGGCAAGAAGAACTGTATCCTGGTTCCAAAAATCACTCAAAACTTTCCTTCATGATTCGGCTTTTTATTTTGAAGTGTGATCATAATCTAACCAATGCCGCATTTGGAGATATATTGGAGCTTATAAGGGAGGTGTTGCCTAATGCAAAGTTGCCAACTTCTTTCAATGAAGCGAAAAGTGTTTTGAAAGTGTTGGGGTTGGATTATACAAAGATTGATGCATGTCCAAACGATTGCATGATATATTGGGAAGAGCATGAAAATGCAACAAGCTGCCATGTTTGTAAAACACCAAGATGGAAATCAAAGGACAAAGAGGATGACATAGAAAATGGTAAGGGAAACACCTATAGAATTCCTCAAAAGATTCTTAGGTACTTTCCGATAAAGAAAAGGCTTCAACGACTATTTATGTGTCAAGAGACGGCGAGATACATGACTTGGCATGCGGATGGGCGTGAAACTGATCATCTTTTACATCATCCAGCTGACGGTCAAGCTTGGAGGGAATTTGATTCCTTGTACAAAGAGTTTTCTGATGACCCGCGCAATGTGAGGCTAGGATTAGCCACAGATGAGTATTGTACATAGTACTTGGCCAGTTTTGTTGATCAATTACAACTTGCCTCCTTGGATGATTATGAAGCCTGAGTATTTGATGTTAGCACTACTAATTCCGGGTCCTTCTTCCCCAGGCAATGACCTTGACATATATTTGCAACCACTAATGAAGGACTTGAAAGATTTGTGGGAGTTCGGACTGGAAACTTATGATGCTTCGAGTAACCAGAGGTTTCACATGCATGTAGCATTGATGACTACCGTGAGTGATTTTCCTGCTTACGCGATGTTATCTGGCTGGAGCACAAAAGGATACTTGGCGTGCCTTGAGTGTCATTATGAATTAGATTCTGAGTGGTTGCCTTATAGTTCTAAGAATGTGTATAGGGCAAATCGTATATATCTACCTCCATTTCACCCTTGGCGTCGTGATAAGAGGAATTTTGATGGGAAAGTTGAGGAAAGACAACAACCTACTCCATTGAATGGAATTGATGTAGCTAATCTGTTGCGTGATTTTCCAAATGAATTTGGAAAGATGCAAAAGAAACCAAGGCGTGATGCTGATGATCCGAACCCATGGAAAAAGAGGGTCATTTTTTTCGAGTTACCATATTGGAAGCATTGTCTTAATCGTCACAACCTCGATGTAATGCATATTGAGAAAAATGTGTTTGATAGTGTCATTGGGACATTGTTAGACATTCCTCAAAAGACCAAGGATCATAAGAGCGCTCGTCGAGATTTGGTAAAGCTTAATTTGATGCCGGAGCTTCAACCAAGAGAATTGGAAGATGGTGGCGAAGAATTTCCAAGATCCTGCTTTTGGATGTCATTGGAGCAAAAACGTAAGTTCTGCCACGTCTTCAAAAATGCCAAACTTCCTCAAGGCTATGCTTCTAACATTGGTCGATGTGTACAAGTTGGGGAAAGGAAAATTGCAGGCTACAAAAGCCACGATGCACATTTTATGATGAATTATTTGCTCCCAATTGCAGTGAAGACAACATTATCCAAAGATGTTGCTACTCCTTTGATTAGACTTTGTGCTTTTTTTAAAAGTATATGGAGTAAAAAGGTTGATCCTCAACATCATGAAAAATTGCAATCTGAGTTAGTTGAAACATTATGCCTACTTGAGAGGATTTTTCCACCTGCCTTTTTTGATATAATGGTACATCTACCTCTACACTTGGTGGGCCAAATTAAATTGGGTGGACCTGTAAGTTCAAGGTGTATGTATGGGATTGAGAGGTATCTTCGTGGACTAAAGCAAGATGTTCGAAATAAAGCTCGTCCAGAAGGCTCAATGGCAGAAGGATATCTAGCCAAAGAATGTGTTGCCTTTGTAGCTAGATTTTTGAATGGATCAAACTCGGCCACACCTCAAGTTAATGCTTGTAGTACATCACAATCATTTCTTCCTAAGGTAGGACGTCCAATAAAAGGGAAAGGAAGGACATCAAAGAAAAAAGACCGTGAACACATACTTGATCACTATCAATGGGTACAAGCGCATCGTTATGTCTTGTTCAATTGTGACTGCGAGGAAGTTGAGAAATATATAAGGTTAGATTACCAACCAAAATGTAGTTTTTTTTTCTTTTTCTCTTGGTTTTCAATATGTTTTAATTGTAGTCTTAATAAAGTAATCTTTTTATATTTCATAGTGAGCACAAGGAATTTGTAAGCGCTAGAGGAAAAAGAAAATGGAATAGCGTTCAAGATCACAGCAAGGATTTTGTGGATTGGTTTAGGGAGAAAGTTGATTTCATTGTTGAAGAGGGTCAAGACATCATCCCTAACAATATCATATGGTTATCAAAAGGGCCTTCTTACATTGCTAAAAAGTATACAGGGTACTCAGTCAATGGTTATAGGTTCCATACCATGAAGCGCGATGCTAATTGTGTAACTCAAAATAGTGGAGTCACTCTAACGGCCATGACACATAGCTTTGCGAGTTCCAAAGATCAAAATCCTGTTGAGGCTAATGTCAATTATTATGGTTCAATAACAGACATCATTTCAATATCTTACCATGGCTACTTCTGTGTCGTCTTATTTAAGTGTGTGGTTTCACTCTGAAAAAGACAATGATGAGCTTGTAATGATTAATATGTCTAAGACAATTTCTAAAGAAGAACCATTTATCTTGGCATCTCAAGCACATCAAGTGTTTTATGTTGAAGATCTTAATAGAGATGGTTGGCATTATGCTGTTCAAATCCCTCCTAGAGAGCTTTCTGATGGTTTTTTCCCTAACAATTTAAATTACATTATATTGCACTGCTTTCCATATTATATTATATTATATTATATTGCATTGTTTTTCATATTATTATCTTTTATGGTTTGTAAACATGTTGTCATTGAATGGCTTTGCAGATGAAGGGGAGTAAAGCAAAAGCTTCTGATTCCCAAAGTCAGCTTCCAGACTATAAGTTACAAAGGCTCAGAAAATTGAAGCATAATGTTGAAAGAATGTCAGCCCAAGGATCGGGATCCTTGGCGAATAAGATACTGCAACAAAAAACACGCGACATACTTTGTTCGAGTGTGAGGCAGACAGATGATGGCTCCTCAGGAGACTCTGATATGGAACAGGAAACTCTTGGTTGTGAAAAAAGACAAGTATGTGAAAAGGTATCTTTAGTAACTTGAATTTGCTTTGACGACATATACATTCCTGCCTTTGCTCTGCCAGTCTCTTGGTATAAGTTGTGTAGGAATTATCTTAATTTTCTGGTCATTCTCCTCTATAAATTTAGATCCTGAAGTCTGCACTAGTCTCAACTATCAAGAAGATTGTATTAGGTTTACTAAGCATGAGCGTACATGAATCATTTTGGTTTATCTTATTAGTCAAGATTATATAGCCTCCTTCCAGCTATTACGTGCTGTTGTTCTGTTAATGAGCTTAGACTCGTTTGTCAGCAGTGCTAGCTTCCACAGTGCTCCTGAGGTTTATCATACCGGAAGTGTGATGACTGGCAGTGGCTTGAGCTAGTGGATCCAGGATGCGGAAGTGGTTGTGATGGGTTTGAGACTTACCTGCTTAGATGTAAAGGGTTAATCGAGTCAGCTGGGTTGATTATGTGTGAATTTTACCTTTCCAAAAAAAAAAAATGCTGCCAATCTGGTTTAGTGATCACTAGCTCACAGACTTAGCTACTAGAAGTATGATGATCAGTCTTGTTGCTTGTTGAGACTGTTTGCTGATCTTAATGTTTTTACTGCTGTTCTCATACATTTTTAAGCTAATGATTGGAATTTATATCTTTCATCTTCATAATCGCTTTTTTTTTTTCCATCTTTGGTTTAATGTATTGTGGATTGATTTGATGATACACAGTGTCTCTTGGGTTTTTTGACGACATATACATTCCTGCCTTTGCTCTGCCAGACCCGTCACATAGTAACATGTTTCGCTTTTGTTTTATAGGTGTCTTCTCAACAACATCCAGTTCATACACGGGAAACTCAATGGAAGCAGCAAGAACAGCAATTGGGGTCAACAAAGGCATCTGTGAAGAAAAGAGCGTTCTGTTCTCCTGGCTCAATGTCAGCCTACCTCGAGTTTCGGAAACGACAAAAGGATGAAGCGCTGATGATGAGCAGTGAGGTGCATGAAAAAGGGCAAAATTATGATGATGAGCAGCTGAATGAGACCGATTGTGCTCTTCAGTTCGATTGTGAGGGCAATGATGAGGGCAATGAAGCAGCGGAAAGAGCAGTTTATGGCACAGTTTGGAATGGAAGGTATATTCTGATCATCAATTATGATTGCCTTAGGTTGACCTGTCAAATAGTTATAATTTTAGTAAAATATAATTATAGATATAATTAATAGTATAAATATGCTCTGACAGACATAAATAGATTGAAAACTCCAATAAAGAAGTAGATACATTCTTCCTAGACATTTATAAAAGAAAAACACATGTATATGCAATGGAGCTTATATTTTGCCTCTGATTCCTAAAACTTAAAATTTGTAGTTTGTTCAATAATCGTATCTATTTCATATTAGACCTAATGGCTGAAAATATATAATATGTAATATTTCAATTTAAAGTCTGAACACAGGAAAGAAAAGCATAACTTAATAAGATATTGTCTCTGAATACTTCCTTAGGTTCTCCCTGCTCCACTGCCACAGTGAAAAAATAACATGAAGTGTTTCAGCACCTATCTTATTCCATTTGCACTCAATCAACTAATATCTCTAATTCATCATGAATTGCAGCAGTACCCTCAATTGATACACAGATTCTTCTAAGTGATAAACATAAATCATTTCGACAATTTGACTTTTTCTAGAAGTACCACAGACACATAACCATCAAAAGTAAGGCTGAATGGAAAATGGAGAGAATAATGTAGCAACTTATACATTAGTATAGTTTATGGAATTTGCTGTAACTAATACACATCAAAAAAAACTTTAACTCCACTTGACGAAAATAGAGATTTTTCTTTAGGAAAATTATTCATTGATAAAAAATAAAAAAAAAGAAAAAAACACAACATACTTTAAACATTTTGTACGGGATTTCTATTGAGGTCAGATGGAGAAGCTCTACCAAATAGTTCGTTTACATGGCAGAAAACGTGTCCCTACTCTTTTTAAAGTAGGCATTTTCAACTACTAAAGAATTCATCATGCTATTCATTAATAAAAAGTAATAATTGTTATGGTACAAATTTACACTACTTTTGCCTATGCAATAGGTACTAACCCCATATGCAGCCATTACAGAAATATGTACTAAATACTAATAAAGTACACGCATTTAAAATTACCTAGCAATAACATTTTCTCTTTTGCATTCTCAGTTGAAGAATCTTTCTTATCTGATTCTGCCATCTTTGTTAAAGCACTGGTTGAGATATATATAAACTTGTTAAGCTGGATAAACTTATGAATGCAGTGTTTATTACCACAGAAATATCAAGTGAATTGTCCTCGAAAAGGAAAAAACATCGAGGTCGAACAATGCTCCATAGAGTTCACGCACGTACAAGAGAGGAGCGTCCTGTGATTGTTCTGAACTCATTAGGTCAGCCAGTTGGACCTACTAAGGAGATTGTGCAAGAGTTCAAGTTTTTTCTGGGAACGGTGGCAAGGGATTCCGAACTTGCACCGCTTAACTACAGAAATTTTCCTAGCCTACCGACACTTGATAAGATATTGGATTATGTCCAGGTAGTATACATTGATACTGTCTTAGTTGCATTACACGTACACCTCCACACGTTACTAATGTTTTAGCTTGAACAGGAGAAGTATATGGTCCCCCATGCCGGGTTAAATTGGGTGATGGATGCTGTAAATAGTTGTTGGAAATACTATAAATGCCAAATCAAGAAGAAACACTTCTATGCATATGATACGGATGATTTAAGGTGGGAACATAAACCAGATATAATCTCCGATCAGATGTTCCTAGATCTTCTACAATATTGGCATTCCGATGAGGCGAAGGTACTGTATATTGATTCTAATCTAATTCTCTCGAATAATTTTATCTAATATGTGTTTAATTTTGAATTAAATGGTGGTTTCCGATTTTCCCTAGGCAATTAGCGACAGCAACAAAAGCAATCGTCTAATGTTAGATGATATGCACACTTTGGGACGCAAATCATATGCTATTTTACGCCATGAGTTGGTAAGTACATTTTTTAAAATCTAAATTATAGGCATGTTGCATATATTTTTATTCTAATTTCATATATTATGATTTACATATATATAGCAACAACAAGATCCAGACAAGAATGAACCTTCTCAAGCAAAGGTTTACAAGGAATCAAGAAAAAGAAGTGCTGAAAGGACATACATTAGCAGCAATGAAAAAGCAAAAGAGAATATTGTGAGTTATTCGATAATTAGTAACATTGTACGCCTAAATATTGTTAGTTATTCGATAATTAGTAACATATTACTATGTTTGCCTAAACAGGACAAAATTGATGCTTTGGAGTCAGCACAATCACAAGAAGATGGTAATGTATGCAATGACCCTTACAGTGAAGTGATTCCACCTCCTAAACGCAAAAGTCGTTTGCATCTATATGGCTCGGGTGTGAAGAAGAGTGATTTGAAGAACAAAGATACAAAGTCAAATTACATACTCCCGGAGGAATTCCTGGTAGGCATAAAAACACAATTAGTCCAAGAAATTGCACCTACCATCACCGCTGCAGTTTTGGATTTGATTCGCGAGGTGAACCCCGGGATTAATCTTGTGGTTCCTAGTACTCTGCAGCAATTGACTCCGCATGATGCATCTAGTGCACCAAATCGAAATACTGCCCAAAGTGGACAATCTTCAAAATCATTTAATCAGGTATAATCTGCACTTCTCTGCTCTAAACTTTAATTTCTAAACTTCCCCTGACTGCTTGCTTGACTGCCTGACTGACTGACTGACTGACTGACTGACTGCTTGCCTACCTGACTAAAAGCTTGCCTACCTGACTGCTTGCCTGCTTGCTTGCCTACCTGCCTGACTGACTGCTTGCCTGCCTGACTGAAAGCTTGCCTGCCTGCCTTGACTGCTTGCCTGCTTGCTTGCCTACCTACCTGCCTGCCTGCCTACTATAGAAGGGGCTGGCGTAGTTATGCTGAGTTTGCCCATATAGACGCCTCACAACTTGCATCATTCCACTCCTTATCTCCCTCTAGCATTCCCCGAGCATAACAATCAGGTGTGCAATAATTAATGTCGTATGCTGATCACATTATGCTGGATCTTGTCTCCCATGTGAGACATCTAAAATGCCTTAACTTCTATTTTTTTATCTCTTTGATGTATTAAATCCTGGAAGTGGGTTTCCATTTTGATAACTTGAATTCCTGAGGAATCTCATAAAACCTTTATCTTTGGATGATAGTCAGTCTCTCCCCTTTTATTTATCTTCCAATATTCAAGATGACTTCTTTCTGTCAGAAAGTAATCAATCTCTCTAAGTAATTCTTAGCCTGGGATGAAGCTTTGTTTTATCCCAAGGGGGCCGAGGCCCTTGTAAAAATACTATACTGCGTACAAGTATTGCTTAAATCTTTACAGCATTATACATTAATATGTTCCTGGTATTTAGCAACTTCGAGCTGTTTAAACATAGCATTAGCTCAAACTGTTGATATAGCCTTCTGATGTCTTTTGTTTGTTTAATTTCACTTACCATTGGATGTGGAAAATTGTTAAACTTATGATATCTTGCCAAGGATGTCTAATTTTTGTTCTCTTATTGTATATTTTGTACTTTGATGACTGATTTGTGTGTTGTTGTGCGTTATTTAATTTCCCCAATAGGTGTTGTTATTGTGGCTTATGCATTACTTTTTTTACTTAGGTGCTTGATGACGATGAGCTACCCCGGGATGAATGAAGTAAGGACTAATGTTGATTTTATGTATCTATTGCAACTTCTAGAGAGCTTTCAAATTAAACGTTTGTTAATTAATTAGCTAGTGAACTTTCATTTATAATTAGTTAG